TGGAATCGGTTCTGCGTTCGTGCTCCTGCGAGAAAATGAGCTACCCAAAACACACAACCTCTCGACCACCCTCAGTTTTTCGAGCATAACTCGGGTAACGGTTGCAGGAGGAATGTCTGTCTCGCGGGGATGCTCGACAGCGGCCCGGCCTCTGTGGTCAGATATTCAGCGCTCTAACTGATTAGGAACTTTTTCTTGACCGCACGAGACATTAGTGGGCCCTCATTGGCCATGAGCTTTTTCGTTCTTCTTCGTTTTGAACTTTCTAACAAATTTCCCAATTCCATCTAGCTAACCGCCACTATGTGGCGACTGACATCCAATGGCAACTAGAATGAATCTGAGCAGCGCACTTTCCTCTTATGACGCCCAGTTCCCGATTCCATAAACCTCCACTGGTTTTGACCACTGGGTGTCTTTGCGGATTGTCACGTAAGATTTTTCCGTTTATGGCGCTAGATGATGGCTGGGTGACCAAATTTCACAGATACGCAGCTGAAGGTATCAACTTTTCAACGCCATTGAAGTCACAGCCATTTTGCTTTCCTGCCATGTCTCTATATGTCTCCACGTTTTCGAAAGGGATGGCCTAATATTTTTACCTCCCTTCCCACAACTCGCTCCACATCCCATGCTGTGCCAACGTCTTCTAACTGTGATTTATGCCATTTATGCCATTGGACCAGATGGAATGGTAAGCACAGCCATGGGTAGCCACTCATGACCTCTGTTGGAGAATGAAGACATTATGGTGACATCACTATCATAGACGATCATTGTTCGTGTTGCGATATATGTGCACAGTGCCGAGTGAGGTTGCCAGTTTTCTCCAACGGAAAAATCCACTATTGTCCTTTATGTCGACGGTTACAATATTGGCCACCAGAAAATACATGTGAAGGAGCAGCAGCAGCCGACATACCACTTCTACCAGCGCAGGATTAGCGATCAAGACAAGACAGTGGAACACATGCACCAACAACAGAAGGGAACGGGTGAGTATTTCCCGCTCATCTTGGAAAGAATTGAAACCAGAACGACGGCACGTGAAGAGAATCTTGCATTTGAGATCCTATTGTCGATTCACTGTGTAAGCGCATAGATACATTCAATTTCGGCAGTGAGAGTTACAAAACACTTTGATGTTTGGTCAAACGATACAAAAACCTTTTGCATAATGACTGTGGCGAGCTCCACGACGAATACCCATTGATGACTCGGGTGAAGATGCTTGCTCGCTTCGTTAAAGCGTGCCACAGTTGCCAGGAAGCCGCGAAGAACCCACTATGCAAGTGGCTAATGGAAGATAAGCCATAGAATCGCCTACAGGTGACTTGCAAGACTGATCGATGGTACAACTTCCGGCCGGGAGTTGTCGGAATGTCATCTATCATTATAAGTTAGAGAGCCACGCCGTCTAATCACTCGGGTTTGGAAATCCACACTTCATCATCCATTAACACTAGTAAAAGGCATACAGGGAGGGAGCGGAAAAAGACATTCTTCTTCCTCGACTTTCAAGGCGATATAAGTTACACTTTATCAAATTCTGATTGGACATTTCCACCATCATATTCAACAACACACTATCACGATACTCCGCCACAGCCTTCTGGACGAGCGCCATCGAGAGATTCTGCCACGGACCGTGATTCGGTGAAGTTCAGCGAGGTCGTTGATTTCTCGTCGCTATAGACCACCCTGTTGAGCTCCGTCCGAACCCGGTGGTTGAGGGTTCAGGTCAGGGGACATACTTTTATATTCAGTCTTCTTCAGGTACTCAACGCTCTTCGATTCCAAGTAGGCGAGAGTTTTTCGATTCCATGTGCTGGCACCCAATCCTGTAGCAGTACGAAGTTTCCAAGATGGTACAGGCGACGACATGAAGGCAGGATATTCTCCTCGAGTTGGTCGATGTAACCGTCACCAGTGAAGATGATATCCTGACCGTAGCGACGTTGTCGGAGCTGCTCGATGCTTGGAGGTCTTCCAGATCAAGAGTGCCGGTCTCCAGGTAGCTGTCCATGGGTGACTCCATACGAAGTTTCGCAGCTGTTTGGAGGTGACGTGAATTCCATAGGCCTTCTCCAGTCAGGCTGCGATTGGAGATGGCTTCATATTTTGGTGTACATGAAGGTGATGGACGAGGCCTGCTCCTGCTTATCGAGGAACATCTTGGGTATCTTCCGCCCTGGTACTCGTATCCACGTCTTCTGTCTGGGCTGCGTAAACTTTACTGATATGTGACTCGACCAAAGTGTCTTTTTGCCCCCCCCCCCCGCCCCGTAGACACCAGTTCACGTCCAATGACTTCGACAACAACTTCTGCAACAAGAACGGCATCTTACTTCTCAAATAACCAACGCTTCATCAGCAGTCCGACGTTGCAGTACGCTTCGTCGACACGTTCGAAAGAAGCTTCAAGAAAATTAAGAACAGCCCGTCGACTGGAGCTTTCCAGGAGTTCCTGTTCTGCGCTCGCCTAACACCTTGCTCTTCCATTCGAGGAGGACTACCTTCTGCTGAAGCTCTCTTACGGAGAAAATCAGCAGAACCCTCAGCCTCCTAGAACCTGCCTAGACCTCATGCATCGAAACGGGCAAACAGAATACGGAAGACAAATGAATTCGGCAACAAGGAGTACGACGAAGGCAATTTAACATAGGCGATTCTCTCTGGACAACGAACTATGGAGCAAGAACACCGCAATAGATAGCCGGCCGGATACAAGAAAGACATGGAAAACACATAAGAAACGAAATGCACTTTCTCCTTTCACAGATTCTAAGCAGACCAGCAGAAAGACTTACCTCTGTTACCACACGCGGAGCCAAAAGAAAACAAGGATGAACGAAGAAACAGTGGTGACAACCAGCACCCCAGAATCCACACCGTTAAACAACAAGGCTACAACAACAGCCTCACCCACACTAGGCATCAAGGGAGCCGAGTAAGTACCAAACCACATCGAGCTGAACAATTGATGGTCAACGTTAAGAGAAGACTTACGTTTAGCGTACATCTCGGAGAGATGTTGCAGAATGAAGACACACTATAGTGATAACACTTTCATAGACGATGATTGTTTGTGTTGCGATATATAAGCAGAAAGTCTAGTAGGGTCGGGAATTATAACGCGATCCGGTATCCACTCCATGTCGAGAGTGTTTTTTGAGGTTGCGAAATCTTTCTGAGCCATCTGATATCCTTGGCCACTCTTCGCTCCGCACGTAATCGACAACGTGCTTCAGAATAGGATCCTTAGCGATTTCTTCTGCGACTTACCATTAATGGGCATTTACTGGTAATTTCGACATTGCGCTGATAAATACGGTGGAAGACGCACAGTAATGACTAACAAGTTGTAAGTCTTCTTAGATATCGATTGTTCTGCAAAGAGGCGGGATAGAGCGTCTGGTCCTCGAAATAGTGACACACCTGCATTTTATGTTGACCTAGATTAACATTCCTAGCAAAGGAGCTTCAGGTTTGTTTTTAGACAACCGCGTACTTTCCTAGTGCAGACCGCAAATTTTGCACTTTTCGTGCAGGCTTGGAGTTTTCAAATATGAGCAGAGCTATACCGATATCCAGTTCTTTTCCCTTGTTTAGAAAGTCGGTTTTGCGCAGTGAGTGAAATGGGGTCTTGCTTTTGTCTTTGTTTTCCTTTTCTGCTCTCTTTTTGCTGTCATTGTCTTTTTAGTTGTTCGCTATTTCTTGGAAATTTGTTCTGGTTTTACGTAATTACATGCCAAGTTGTTCTGGTTTTACGCAGTTACATGTCACAGAGCATTTAATAAATTCGAAAACAGTATAATCGCATCCAAAACATAACCATGAACTGATATCACTAAACGGATTAGTTCGCATCTCTGCTAGCGGTTGATTTTTCTTCTCTTCATCATATCGCTTTCACTGATGCTTTCCCATCTATCGTTGCAGTGTGCTTCTCTTTGAGCACGCACTACGCTCCATCCTCTCCCATCGCACCTCTATTACCCTCACCTCACTTCCACTATTCCAACCTTTCTCTACCTTGCTTTTGTACGTACCCACACGAGCTGCCACGCGAGCAGCTCGTGCAATGACTCGGAATACACGGTTGTCTTATATAGTGCAGGGTGTTATCATATTCAAAGCATTAGCTCAAATTGATAATATGAAATTGTGTGGATTGTTTCACAGTTGTGCTAGCGTTGATCGGGAGGCATTTTGCTCTTTTGCTATTTCCCATCGACGTGTCGACCTATCTAGACAGCTCTTCTCGAGTTTAACATGATGGCTTGACGACCTTGCTCCAGCTTCACAAGAGTTCACAGGTTTCGCCAGAGTGAGACATGTAAACTGGAACTAAGGAAGCAATGATAGTACAAAAGGTCCTCCGTCGACACACTGCGCCTCTTTTCAGGTACTTATCTTTTTCACCGTAATGGTTTCCTTCTGTTGAAGCGCATTCTACGCTCCTCCACCGTCCCTCCCCCACTAACCTTACCCTATCGCCGCACCCCTTCCCACCCCCCTTCCCCTCGCCCCATGCGTTCCCTGTCCCCTGTACTTCCAGCTGCCTCGAGCAGCTCGCGCAATGGCTCGGGGTGCGTTGACTTATACAGTGGAGGCCGCTGTCACAATCAAAACATTGGATTGATACATCTGCACAGATGCTGCTTTCCAGCTTGGCTAGCGGTCGTTTTCTCCGTTAATCCCGTGAAGCAGTTCGGAAATCCAATTCGTTCTGTGGATCATTCTGAAAATATGGCGAGAAGCTCCAGAGAAACCAATAGAGCTAGCAACCATGGAATGATTTATTGATGAAAGATTCGAGTAAAAACGTGCATAACGGTAGCTGACACCTCTCTTAATTTGAGAATGATATTGTGATGCACGTCGTTGAGGCATAATGGCGATTTGACGATATGAATTCAAAGTGTTCGTGATAAGCAATGGAATATCAATCAATGCAGTTTGGATTACAAAGGAAGGACTTCGTAAAAACGCCTATATCAGTCATCAGAATCAGAGTCGGAATCTGAATCTTCATCGTTGGGTGACGACAGTTTAGCATATTTATCTTCCTGAAAGAATGGTATAGGAAAATTTACATAAACTCATATCTACATTCGGTATCCAACCCGTGTCATCTACGTCTATTCTTAGCACGCATCTCAAATACTTCTCACAAAGTCTATCAGGAGCATCATCAGCCACAGGGGTAAGAACTGGGTCCACAAAAGCGGAGGATGCCATGGTAGAGCATCGAAGGTTAGGAACAGTTACGTTGTGCCAAGCATACCAATGAAGGCAGGCATCAATAGCCAGAAGGTAGAGCCGATACGGTTTTGATTTCGAGTGAGGCTGCCTACGTAACAAGGGCTAAATGAGGTCTTAACATTGAAGCAACCGACTGAGGTGAGAAGACGTCACTGACAACAGGCCATTCACAAAACTGTAGAACTGGTCCTCGGACCATGAGACAAAGAGCTGGCGGTATACTTTTCCCTGTCAAAGCGCATTTAGTCATAAGCATAGGTGGTCGTAGATATTGACTACGAGAAACGGACATTTGCGAAAGATGATATACGGCTTAATTCCAGTGTCTGCTTGAAGCCTACGCGCCAACACCACAGAACTGGTCGGCCTGAAGCATTTCCCATGGAAATGTAGAAGTTCCAGAAGGAGCGTCTGACCTATTTCGGAGGCATCGATGGCAATTTCACGGCCAGGAGTTGTTTCAGAACAAAGTCTGGAAATTTGCACATCGCAAAACAGGGCAAAAACGGAATACTCTGAGTGGTTTAGATTAGCCGTACCGAATAAGACTATCTATGGAAAGCAGTGGTTCAAATCTCTCACTCGCTGCTTCTGTGAG